GGTTCTTTAGCTTAAGAGCTTTCGTGCTTCTGTCTGTACTGATGCGTTTTTGCTCTTCGAATTGTTAATTTTGCAGTGTTTTCTTTTCTATCGTGTTGATAATTCTCTATGACTTTGGCGTTAAGGTTTTCATTTTATCTTACTTAATACTAGAATATGCATTAAACTAGTAAACTGTAAACTACACAGGTACCAGATAAAAACCACTTAACTGAGGATCTGTTGGATTTTCCTAATTATGTTAAAATTATTTGAATATAAGGCCTGCAGTGTATGTTTTAGTAAAGTACCTAATCCATAATTTCCTGATTCATGTTTCTGACAGTGTTTTGGTATTTGAGGAGATAGTTGGAATACTTTCATCGACCGTTAGGAAAGCTTGTTGATCTCATCCCGAAACAGCATGATCCATGCTCTGTAATCGTTAGATATTATAAAAAGGTTACGTTTTTGGAGCTCCTTATACTACCTAACTTTATTTTTGATGAGACACATTGTCGAACCATACCGAGCGCCAATCTGAAAATGTATTCTCAACGGAAAATTCCGTTACCAGCGGTTTCTTTCACTTTGTCATACATGACCTTTTTAGCTATAGCACTCATATTTCCTGAGTGCACAAACTTTTAAACCTAGAGTTTTCATTTGCTAATATCCACCATGACGGAGTCCTAACCGTAACTATGAAGCCTCATACTTTCACTGTAGTCGCGTTACTCAGCCAAGCCACAGACATTTTTGGGAATACTCGTGTATGCAATTTGCGTTAATAATGTCTTGTTTTCCGATATCCTTGGGGAAACGAGATAGGTAAAACTGTTAAACCACTACAAGAAGACTGCTTTTCGCGTGTGGATATTGAAGCATTTAATGGAGTATTGAAGCCTTCTGTTTCAAGTCATATTTACATGATTAAGACAGATTGTTGTCCAAGATCGCGTTGATAGTTAGAAAAGGTGGTTTAATTTTGATTCAAGTCTGCCTTTCTTTGCCAGCCCGTTTTAGCCAGCCTTTCTGGCAAAGCCTATGATACAGCTCAGTGTTTATATCTTAAATGTGGAATGTGCCCATAAAGTTAAGTCGGTGCTAATTTACCCTTTTCAAAGTAACTTTTAATATCACACTGTGCATCTCTTCCTTGTCTTTAAGCCGCTTGACCTGTCAAAGCTGTACTTTTTCAAAGATGTACGTTGTTTTCCAGTCATAAATATAACGGTTTGTAATTGGATTGTGCGTAGTCCGTCTGGTTTTGGAAGAATTACACTGAACCATCGAGTTTTTCTTCCGATTTCGTCAACAGTGTATTCCGTTTCAAACCGCTTTTTGCGCGCCTCGCGGTTTTAAGCGACCATTATGTAAAAACGAATTAGTAATCTAAAGGCATCACCTTACATACAGGACATGGTTGTAGTCAACTGTCAATTTCAGTTTTTTATTTCGTCATGGGCAGTACACTTTACACCTCCCTCAAAACTAGTCTATAGTTTACCTGACACCTCACTTCGACGTCCACTACCTAGATAACAATTGTTTTAGTGTATTCCACCTAGCCTTTGGTTTCTATCTCTGTAATATATATCTTCAATCCGTTCTCGGAGGAAATTCAATGATCTAATTTTGCCCCCTATGTTCCCACCAAGCAGCAGAAAAAGGGAGATAAGCATGGAGCAGAAGCCAACCTGCGCATGTTTGTTACTTTCTGAAAGAGGGCCTGACTTGAACGAAAATGTGTGATAGGATTTTTAAGTAACTCTCCATATCTGTACGTGAATAGCACAAACATAATCCAATGACTCCGCGTCGTGTTAACCCTGGTAGAACCAAGGCCTGCTAACTGGACTACATTTTATCTGATTATTCT